TGCAAATCACTATTGTCTCGAGTGATTTGTCTTGAATGATCGTTTAAACTTCACTTGTACTTCATTTGAGTGTGAATAATTATCTTTATAACTTTGAAGAGTTAAACACTCAATTCAATTTGTTAGTAAATAAGATGGACTTGTTTGTTATAATCAAAACATTAAGGTCATGATCAACCATAGGTCAACAAGAACTCCAAGCGCCTCTTCTACGAACTCCAGAACTCTAAAGGCTTATTCGTGAAGGTCGGTTTGGTGTTTGATTAACGATCTTTTTGTATTTTGATCTTTGGTTGAATGTGGAGGATTATGGCTCAATCAACAAAGTATGGTTGGGATGAATTTATGATTAATCAGTAAGGGGTTGGATTAAGCGATCTTTGATGTGTTGCTTGATCTTCAATAATATGATCTCTATGATGAAAGAATGATTCAACACCCTTTTGGGATGATCTAAGGCATGTATATTTATAATGAGAAGTGTTTGGGGGTGAAATAGGACTCAAAAATCACTAAATAGGGTTTCACCACGTAACAGGGACGCTAGAGCGTCAAGTGAGCGCCAACTAGCGTTAGCCATGCGGTCATCAATATTTACATCATAACTTTATCTCCCAAATCGAATTGATGTGATTCAAAGTGTGTTGAAAAGATAACTCAATGCACTACAATTTTTCTAGAAATAGTATTGTCCAAATTCTAATGTGTTCTATGTGAAAAATGCATTGCAAATCGTGGCTGAGAATTTGAAGCGTGATTTGTGCAATACTTTTACACTTCTTTGACTTATAATTGCATTCCAATGATCATATGTGATTTTTTTGGACATCTTGAATTCTTTCAAGACCTATACAACCAATCTCAATTCTTTTGACTTTAATTACAACTCAACAAACCTAAATTTCGGATATGGATAGAGCGAATTACAATTAGTACTCTAAAAACATGTTTGGACTAGTATTTTTGAAAATGCATTTTTTAAAATAAGGATAAACCAATAACATAAAATACAAAATGCATTTTTTACGTTTTTAGTGTTTTTGGTGAAAATTCCGAAAACACTCAAAAACATAAAAAATAAGCATTTAAATAAAACTTTTTTTACGAAAATCTAACAAATAATTTTAAAAAATTAAAAAAATCAAAAGATAAAATTGATAAATTTTAAAAAACCAAAAAAAAAAAAAATTCCAAGAAATAAAATCTAAAATTATTTAAAAAAATCTACAAAATAAAATTCTAAAAAATTAAGCCCTTGTTTGATTCTTTTTTTTTTTAAAGCATTTTTCTTTCACTTCTTTTTAACCACACATTCTTCAATATAGCAATATTACACGGCACGAAAATTCAAATTATTTTTTTAACCACACATTATCTATCA